GCAGGTTCGACTCAACAGTGAACTTTTGACACAAAAGAAATAGGAAAGTCATCTTCAACTGACTTTTTATTATTTTGTTTAACTTTGTTTGATTATTTTATTCCCTATAAAGTTCTTTATTTTGTTTTGTTTGTTTCTTTTTTAAATGTATTTTCCTGGTTTTTGAGTTGACACATGAAGCATGGCTGTCAGTTTTCAGTTAAAGTGATGATTTATATTCTCAAGCCTTTTCTTGGAGCAGCGTTAACTCTTTAACTTACAGGAAAYTGGGATTAACAACTATTAGTTTAATTTAATTAAGCAGTTTAGCCATTTTGAATGCACTGATACCCATTCGTTTAGATCTGCGATACTCTGCAGTCTGTRGGAACAAGCTCCATTTTTCTGTCATACAAAAACTGTTTTTATTTTTTATCTCAGTGTTATTGAGTAAAATATGTAGGGATGAATTACATTCTCTACATTCAACTCATTAAATAGTTATTTACCTAAAAGACAATTTCATCTYTTTCTTTTTGGTAGTTTTCTTTTTGAAATCCCTCAGTATATTGTACTAATAAAAAGTACGATTGCTTTTTTCAACCTTAAGGCCAACGTGTTCTCACTTGTCTTATGTGGATGCTTGGTCAGGATCCCTTGGTGTCACTTATTAATGCAGAGGGTACCCCCTCACACCCCCTCACACCCCTCACATCAGTGCTTTGACGTGCAAGGTGCTCTGTTTAGCTGCTGTGGAGCTCCCTAAATATGAGACAACAWGAGAAAACAAAAAAATAAATAAATGTAGCCCAGAATCTGTGCACAGCTGGTCCATTTGTAGCACATGTTTTTAAAAACTGTCTTCATTTTACAGCTCTGGTCAGCGTGAAATTATAATAATTTCCTCCTGAAGTGAGGGGGTACTTTWTTGTGATATTATGTGTTGTTTTATATACAGCAGGTAAAATAAGTATTSAACACGTCACCATTTTTCTCAGTAAATATATYACTAGAGGTACTAATGACRTGACATATTTTAGCACCATGTGGCCTGTATTTGTGTGACACTGATGGTTTTGTGTATACTCTGATAAAATCCTGCAGGCACCCCTGTACAGACAACATTAAAGCAGCCATGAGAAGTCATCTGAGGCAAAACTGCAAAACCTCATGACCAGTGGTTTCACTAGGCCTATTTTAGGGGGCTGGAGCCCCCCCTAAATTATTTTGGTGTAAAAAAAATATTTTTTTACAAAAATTCCATGAATTCAATACRATGATATTTTGGGGTATTTTTGAATTGTTGTTAAATATTATTTGGCCTTGTATGATTTAAAACTAACTTTGGAAAAAAATCTGAAAGTGTAGGTACAGTACTGTACATTGTTCTCTAAATAAATTTTACTGAAATTATACATTGCACTGTATGTATGTCTACACACACACACACACACACACACACACACACACACACACACTATGAATTTAATATACAAAAATTCTGTGCGACTCCTGGGGGCTAAGCCCCCCTTGTCCTTAAAACCTAGTGACACCCCTGCTCATGACAACAGCCACATTGTATTGAATGTTTAGTCATTATAATTTAAAAAGATAAACAGATAAAATTGATCATGACGACATTTTTTAGATCCTGTCAGTCACAAATGACAGACAAAAAAAGTCTAGCACAACCTCTGAACGTGGGCTACACATGGTTCAGCTGCGCACGAATTGTAGGCTACATTTTATTTTTTGCTTTTCAGAATGTGAGAATGGGCTCCTCCGTTGTGTTCTCATGTCATCGATGTTTAGGGAGTTCTACAGCAGTCAATGAGAGCACACTGCACGTTAAAAACTGATGCAGGGGGTACCCTGTGTGTTRATAAGTGATGCCGAGGCAGCCTGACCGAGCATCCACACATGACAATCAGGGAGTGAGAACGTGTTTCCACCCTAGAAAAAGAGATCTTGTCATCTCAATAAAACTTATCTGATTGGTTATAAAATTCTGTCTTCATGTCTGTTTTTTTCAGTCCAGAAACCCACATTTCTCTTAAGATCCTGAAAAAATTACAAAAAAAGATGTTTCTTTTAAAAATGTACAAGTTCTGTATGATTTTCACATTTCAAACAAAATTTGTTAATTTTTTAGCAACGTTGCCAAGCTTTTATAAATCAGGTTTAATCTAATGTGTTATAATATCTACTTCTGTTAATCCAACCCTGTGCACCCATAAGCCCTGTAGTTCACACAGCACCATATTCAGCATGTTCACAATCAAAACACTGTGCAAACCTACTCTGAGTTTGTCTCTCATCTTTGTGTTTCCTTATTATTTCAGGTATCATGACAAACAGGAAGTAACCAGTAACTTCCTGGGAGCCATGTGGCTCATTTCCATTACCTTCCTCTCTATTGGCTACGGTGACATGGTACCACACACGTACTGTGGGAAAGGCGTGTGTCTACTCACAGGGATCATGGTAGGTTACATTTGGTTTTACTCTGACAAATGTATCATTGCAAATCAACTCAACCTGATATGTAATCTAAATATGTCATTAACTCAATAATCAACAGAAGAAGTGTATCTAAACATTCAGTTTTAGTTCAGTCTACTGAAATACCTTTGCAGAATTTATACATTTGTTATTTTCCTTTTAAAAGACCTGAGTAGTTTATATTATCAAAAATATTAAATAATGAAATCAACATTAAATCAAATATTAAATAACCTACCAAAATCTACTTTTTTCCATTTACTTGTTGTCATGCTGTTAATCATTTGAATGGATTTTCTAAATTATGTCAACTAAAAAGTGATGGGGACAAACATCAAGCATTTTTGTGAATGCAGCTTTTGACAGATGATCAGTGCCCTGATAGCAAAATATGAGTGAATCAACGTTGAAATATAGTTAGGCATGATATTGAATCCATGTTGACATTATACAAAAAGTGGTCATTGACTTACCGTATTTATTCAAGTATAATACGTAAAATTGAATTCATAAAATCATCCATAAAGTTGGGGGGGTAGTATTATACTCGGATAAATATTT